GTCTTCAACGATTGTGAACATGAATGGCTGCAGTAACTCCAACAGGTGGCCCAACACACACACACAATAGGTAACATTAGTCTTCTAATGGTCTGTGACATGAAAACAGAGAGGTGATCCAATGGGAAAGGAACTTTACGGTTAGTGTCTAGAAAGGAGACTCTCGCTCAAACGTTTTGTTCATTCAACAGATGCTTATTAAATAAAGGGTGAGCCAGGTGATGGGTGCTAGGAATCCAGCAGTGAGCAAACCAGTCTCCTGCACTCCTGCAGTTTATAGCCTAGTGGAAATGCAGATTTTTATGAAGAAATTATAAGAGATCTATGAAAGAAGGATGGCTATGGGGTTATGGACACATAAAATCCAGTCTGAAGGGTTAGCAATGAATTAAACATATTTGTATGAGATCTAATTTTCCTGACTTCATCAGTTATGCAAATGATAATACTTATAATACTTCTAGAGTTAACGTTGGCTACACACTCTATATTTTCGGGGAGATGAAGAAACCATCACCTGGAAGACCCTCCTCAATGCTACTCTGCATAAAAGTTATAGTCAAAGGCACAATGACGTGTCATTCAATAGGGAACAAAAGTCTACTGAGTGCCTACTAAGCACTAGAGAATAAGACATGTCTCCGCCCTTGGGAAGCTCCCAATCTAAGAAAAAATGGCTGTTGAAGAATAACAAAACTTGATGAGCATTTCAAGAGGAGAAGCTGAGGGAAGATGTAATGAAGAAGCAAAGCCGGTCAGCTATTATTAGCTGATGGCTTCAAAGAGATTTGCAGATAAATAAATACTTCTGACTTTGGCATCTTTAGGGTTCTGTGGGTATCTCAATTTCAGTGCTCTTTGTCTCATATAGAGTGTGTCCTTTTACAAGATTTCTGTATTAAGGTGCCCCCCAATACACACAACATCCCAATGCTGAGTGGCCTAGGACTTGGTAACTCAGGTAACATCAGTTCCAAGTGTAAAAGAAAAAGACTCTTTTACCCTTGGTGCTCTTTTTTAAAAATCTTGTCTTTCCTCCCTTCTTACTATTAATAGAGTAGCAAGACTCTTAAGGCAAAAATTTGGTTGTAGGCCTAGTGCAGAGAAGTCAGAGGCCTCTTTACTTTCATTTTATCTAGGCTTTAAGCCAATGGCACAAAAGGAGTCCTTGTAGAACTCTATGACTCAGCCCCGCTCACTAGGGCTCTGGGTTAAAGCCAGAGCCAGACTTATTGTAAAGAATGTCTGTGTATAGGGGTGGTGGAAGGGGAGGAGGGCGGGGGGTGGGGGTGAATGTGTGACGGGCACTGAGGGGGGGCACTTGACGGGATGAGCACTGGGTGTTATTCTGTATGTTGGCAAATTGAACACCAATAAAAAATAAATTTATTATTAAAAAAAAAGAATGTCTGTGTGTCTGTGTGTCTGCTGTGTGTCCATGCTTACACTATTCCACCAGTCCCCAAGGAATGAGAAGATGGCTGATTTATTTTTCAAGGATTTAGGGATCCCCCAAGAGCCTCGTTTTTACAAAAAAAAAAAAATCTATCTAACAGAAAACAAGAAGGCAACCACACTTTGCCTTTTTTTAAAGAAAGGTACCTAATTACTTGAAATAGTTTTGTTGCTCCTTAGGCAAAGTTTTCTTCGAAAGGGCTATAGGTCACTGGAGGCCTCTCTGTTGCTTCCATTTGGCTTGCTGGCAGGACAGAGCAGGGTGTTGGGTGGGGGGGCGGGGGGGGGCACAGAGAGGTCATCCTCTCCCTAAGTTTGAGGCACAACAAAAAGTTTACTTCAGCAACACAGAGGAGAGCTAACAGGGTCCTCTCCAATTGGCTTTCTCTCCATTTCCACGAGTGCTCACTGGAGTCTCAGGGCTGCCTTTGAAGCTAAAAAGGAAGAGAGAGCAATCCTCCTCGGAGGCTGCTATAGCCTGAGGTTATTTAGGCCAAACAAGCTCAAGAAAAAGAAGCCTTTCAAGTGCACGGCCTAGTTTACTTGAGCTTTGTACTGTGGCTTCAAGCCAAATTCCCAACTAATAAAATTTTTTTACTGTTGTCGTTCGGTTATTTTTGCCCTTGAATTTTGCTTTATAAGAACATACCTCTCAGAAGTATTGGGGAGGATATAATTATTTGAGGCAATTTCAGGGACATCCTTGATACTCTCGGCAAAACATCACTAAATAGTACCCTGAAACTCACTCAAATTTCTAAACAATGTTAAGCATGAAAAATTGCTTTAGAAGCAAAAATGCTATTTTTGTTTGCAGAATACATTTTACTGGTATTGGTGTCAGTAAAGGCCCTGACAAGACGGTACACAGAGTAATAAAACTTTTACAAACCAGCCCGTGAAAGGTCCACAAGATCTTGATAGTGAACCCATGACCCCGCACACTGAACAAAGGCTACCCGTACTCCTACCTACGCCTGTTCATCTGCTTTGCTGGGTTTGGAATTTGAGAGCTCTCAAACACTAAGAGAAACACAAATGATTCGAATACCGGTAATAAAATCCTATCTACTGTGAGCCACACTGCAAGCCACCATTGAAATTGTGCGATGAACAGTACTGATCACCATTATATGCCATGCTCCAGGTTCCAAAAGCAAACGCTCAAGACTTCCCATTGCACATACATTTAGAACTAGGTCTTATCTGCTGCTTGCGAGGGCATCCTGTAAATTCTGACTTTAGTATACCAAGTCTCAAAGATCTCCACCCAGATGGTTTCATCTGCTGTTTCTAGCAAGCCTGGGGGTGGATAGGAGCCATGGCTGGTCCCTTAGGTGAGTTACTATGCTCATGTAGCTGCTCTCCTAAATCGTCAGGGGTTTTGCATGTGTAATCTGGAAATGGATATTGAATTGCATAGTAATTTGAAAATGACGCAAAAACATTAGTTTTACAATACAGACCACAAAAACCAAAGCTGGAACAATGTGAACATTGAGGTTATGATAATGAGGATGAGGGGAAAGTGCTGTGTTTATTCAGGATTTTAGACAGCTGGTAAAGATTGTTCTACTCTCTTTTCCTAAATGATGGCACCTACTTCCATGGCTTTATTAACCATTAAAATGCTGGTGCCTTCTAAACTTTGCATCTCCAGGTTGCATTTCTCTTCTGTGTTTTCTGACTGGTATAGTCTTATGCTAGCTGAACAGCTCTCTGGGGAAAAAAATGCCACTTTGATTCACATTGTTTTAAGGCATGGTCAGGGCTGGTTTTGGATGGAGCTGAGGCTCTATGGCAGCATCTGCAGATAACTAAGCTAAAGAAAAGACAATTTATGGGGCATCCTGGGTAGCTCGGTGGTTGAGCGTCTGCCTTTGGCCCAGGTCATGATCCTAGGATCCTGGGATCGAGTCCTGCATCAGGTTGCCTGTGTGGAGCCTGCTTCTCCCTCTGCCTTTCTCTCTGTGTCTCTCATGAATAAACAAATAAAATCCTTTAAAAAAAGGCAATTTATGTAGGCAACAAAAGCAGATGGACTCTATCAAATCTGATGTGCTAAAATTGCTTTAGCTTATTTTTTATAACACATTTTCTTTATTTGTGACACTATGGATTATTTTTAATTCCAAATTATTTTTGTTCTTTAACAGACCTCAAAAGTCAGTTAAGATAAATCATTAGGCTAAAAATAGAAGACTTAAAATAAGCACAGTTTACTACTGGGTTGATCCATGATGGACAGATGAAAAACCTCCCACAGATGAAATATCTGTACAGACAATACTAAAACATGACATGAGGCTATCTGGTGTTATGCTAACATGTAAAGACTCACATAGTATTTGCAAGGCAGGTTTGCAAAAGAAAAGGTTGCAACTGATTGTTTACAATTGAAATAATGATCATGCCCTCATTTTTAGGAAATTGATATTTCAAAATATTAATTCACAGAAAACCTGAACATGGAAACAAGAACTCTTACTTAACACAAGACAAGAAATTATATAGACCTTTCTATGAGACTTTAGCAATCATTAAAAAAACATATTCTAGCCAGAATTGTATGAAGGCATGATTTCTGCTGACTTCAACAGATAACACCTTTACATAAACTCAGCTGAAATATTTATACTCAGGGAGGTATGTTTCTCCAAGTTTATTTTTGAGAACATTTGCACAATGAAGTTTTTCTTTGGTATTTGTCTATGCTTGCCCTTATTTCTCATTCTATTTAACTATATATCCTATAATAGCAAATACTGTTTCAGCCGGGAAACATTTTTCTGTCTGAAAATATCAGTGTTTTTATAGGTGAATGTTTTAAGCCTTAAAAACCCAGGACAACTTTATTTGTTGTTCCATTTGCTTTTTTCTTTTTTGTGTTTTGAGGCTGACACTGAACACCCTGGAAAACAATATCACAGGTTTCATATTTTTCCACTTATATATTTTATTTAAAAACATTCATATGAAAACTTGAATGAAAAAATATGAAAGAAGATTCACTCCAGGAAGCAAAATGGCTGTGTGAGCCCAACAAAAATCTTATTCAGAGAGAGTGAAGAAACAGCAACATCAACCCAAAACTGATTTTGTTGTATGTCATTTACCTGCGTAGGTGTTTAAAATAAAAAAGTGCTCCCAGCTGCTTTACTTTCACAGAACAAAGGATTTCATGTTACCCTCTCCCAAAAGTTATCAGTTTGTCAAACATTATATTACCAAAACCCAATACTACTGAGATAAGCTGTACAGAATTTAGTGGCAAAAAAAGACAATTCATTAAAATGCTAATTTTAATGCTACCTAATAAATTAGTAACCACCTTATGGCACTCTAAGATTATAGCAAATAGCTAGGCATTTAAATGAAAATGTAACTTCGTTACCTTCTAAAAAAAACTTAAGCTAAACTTGAATATGTCAGTGATGCCATTTGTTTTCCTTCGGGACTATAGTTTCTCAATATTGTTGTAAATATTTCTTACTTTAAATGAGTTTGGATTGAGGAAAATGCTTAGAATGTTGGTTTCTTTTTACCTGTATGCCTCATGGATTGGTGAGAAGAGCTCTCCAGCACTACTTTTGCCCTGCAAGCACGTGGAGGCAGAGATTCCTTAGTTGGGATTCCTCAGAAGGGCTGCTCGAGCTTCTCCACTTGATCCTGGAAGACAACTTCAGGCCCAGCTGTGTTCACTTGAGCATGAGCGAGACAGACTCCACTACAATCTCCTCCTACCTATTTCAACATGTGTAGAATAAAGATGATACCTTAAACTGCAAATAAACATCAAAATTGATTCCATTTTTATTATATAGAAGATTAGCATACAAAGCACTAAGGGGATTTTAAAAACTTATCCATATATCTAACACCCAAAGGAGAGTATTTTGGTGGATTTCCTTCCAGTATTTTTATGTGTACTTATTTTCAGTATATGTTTCCTACACAGTAGTAAATCCTCATTTTGTGGGTCCAAGATAAGATTGCCTACTATAAAAGGAAATATACAAGTTCAGCATTGAGTTAAAAATAGAGCCAAGATTTAAAAAAATGATATGAAACATTGAAATACCAGGGAAGAGCACAGAATCAGATTTTCACATTACCTGTATCACATTGAAGACAGAGTAATTAAGGACGATGTCCCTTCCAATAAGAGAATCTACTAGGAATCTTTGGTTCCAAAATAAAATTAGGAGGTGACGTGGATAATAGATTCCATATTGCTTAGTAGTTTATCTGTGCAAGGGAGAATCTTGCATTGCTCATTCCAAGGTTGAAATACAGTCCAAGGAATAATATTTAATGCATTCTTTCCAAGTGATCATAAGTAATTTTTATTGTTTTGGACATAATTTTGAAATAAATCCCTGATGGGGTTGCCAAATACAAAAAAGTGCACTTCATAAACCAGGGATTGAGGAGATATTACAAACAATTCTATTTACTCTAGAAAAATTCTCCTTATTAAATAGAATTTTAGAGGTGCCTGTGCGGCTCAGTCATTTGAGCATCTGACTCTTGATCCTGGCTCAGATCTCGATCTCAGGGTCATGAGCTCAAGCCCCATGTTGGGCTCCATGCTGGGAATGGAGTCTACTTACTGATAAACAAATAAATAGATTTTTAAAACTTATTCTAAGTTAGAGATGTTCAACTGGTTAGAGGGGAGTGTTATTTCATCAACTTACTTGTAAGGTAATAAAGATTAAGTTATAAAAAAAGTTAATGAAGTTAAACCTTTAGAAATACAAGGAACCATTTTTATTACAGTGTTTGTCATATTCCCCAATAGAAGGATCTGTGTGGAACAAACTGAATATCCAATTCTCTTAGATTTCAAACTCGTGTGTCCACAACTCCACGTAAGGTTTTCTCATTGCCAAGTAGCCTATAATCGTGACATAAAGTTTCTTTCCTTTTAGCTTCTTTTTTAAATGAAGCAGTGTCATCAACGTTCATGTATCTTTTTCAAAGAGACAACGAACTTCTTGAAGGTTGGGACCATGTCTCTCTTTTATATTCCTGGCACTTTGCAATGGCTGATATACCTCAGGCAATCAGATGGTGTCTTTTTTTTTTTAATTAATTTTTTTTTTTTTTTAAATAGGCTTCACACCCGGTGTAGAGCAACACAGGGTCAGAATTCAGCACCCTGAGATCAAGAACTGAGCTGAGTTCAAGAGCTGGATGCCCAACCAACTGAGCCACCCTGGTGCCCCAAGGTGTCTAACAAATGAATGAATGAGCCACTTTCATATTAGTGCTCTATACTCCTTTCAGTATTTCATAACAAAACAGGAAATTATTTTTTTTAACTCCTCCATGTCCTTCTTCATCTTCATTATCAAATTTTATTAAATAGCTGTGTTAGTTTCCTGCGGCTGCTGTAACAAATCACCATAAACCGGGTGGCTTAAAAACAACATAAATTTATTCTTTCACAGGTGTAGGCTGAGTCATCATCCCTGGGAAAGCGGAGAATCTTTCCTTGCCTTCTCCAGCTCTAGTTCTTTGGCTTGCAGATGCATCCCTTGAGTCCCTTCCTATCTTCACATGGCCTCTCTCCCCTATTTTCCTCTTCTGTCTCTAATAAGGACATATGTCGTTTGCTTTAGGGTTCACCCAATTAATCCAGGATGATCTCATCTTGACATTCTTAATTACATCTTCAAACATGTTTTTTTTCCAAATGAGACCATATTTTAGGTTCTGGATAGATCTATCTTTTGGGGATGTCTATTCAACCCGCTATAATAATTAAGTGTGCAGATCTCTTCCTACTGAATATTTTAACACTTTTAAAAATAGGCATAGGGGATCCCTGGGTGGCTCAGTGGTTTGGTGCCTGACTTTGGCCTGGGGCGTGATCCTGGAGTTCTGGGGTCAAGTCTAAAGTCAGGCTCCCTGCGTGGAACCTGTTTCTCCCTCTGCCTGTGTCTCTGCCTCTCTCTCTCTATCTCTCATGAATAAATAAATAAAATATTTAAAAATAAATACATAAATAAAAAATAAAAATAGGCATAACTATTTGTATTAGTTGGTATAAATGTTAAGCTGACATTATAAAGAGCCTCAAAAAACATGGTGGCCTAAAAAAGGCAGAAGCTTATTTTGCTCTCATCTTATAGTCTGGCCAGCCTAAGCTGTAGAAAGGCTCTGGTCCATTAGGTCTCTAAGGGATCCTGATGCCACTGATGACTGTCATCTCAGTATCTCAGCCCAAGAAGGGGGAAGAAAATAGAGCAAAGTATTTCCTTTAAGCAAATGAGACTGGAGTTGCAGGCATCCCTTCTACTCTGCTGTTCTATCGCTGAGAACTTATTTACATGGCTACTTCTAGCTGCCAGGGAGACTAGGCAATAGTTTCTTTAGTGGAGTGGCCACATACCCAGATAGAATTTTAGTACTAGTGGAAGGTAGAGGAATGGAGTGGAAATCACTAACAGCATGTGACAACTTAAAAAAAGAGCCAAAACTTTAACTCTCCAAATCATATATTTTTAAATTAAATAAATAGCTCATTGGTAGAATTATTCACAAGTTATGCATATAATTACACCATTTGTCATCTTCATTCATAGACTGGAAAATAAACATTAACTTTCCTGATTTCTTAAAATTTTTAATGTCTTTGACATTAATTATCTTAAAGGAAGAGATCACTGACACTCTTCAGAAGTCAAATGATAGACACTGTGTGGTTAGTCATTGTAATTTTCCTAGAACTATCATTAAAACTTTATTAGAAAATATATCTGTCTTGGGTAATTCATCCCCTGGTTTCCATGAAAGAGTGTTTTTCTGGACTTTTTGTCCTCCACCCCTTTACTCTTCCACATGGTGGTGGAAGGAATTACCTGGGAGGAGGATGACAGCCATTCTCTGTGCTAAAGATTCAAACTTTCCCTCTAATGTGCTGTTTTGAGGACTAGACTGGCACAGTTTGTCATTACTCGGCTTTTACTCCAAGACAGACTCCCCATCGACCCTATCAGTGATAGAGTTAAAGTTTGGGTTGTCCTTTTCCTGACTCCTGCATCTCTTCCAGTTTAGAATTTAGGTGGTGAGAAGAAGGAGTAACATATGAATCCCTCTAATCTCAACAATGACTATGAAGCTTCTTTGTTTCCCACATGATTTGTGAGCATAAAAATAGTGAATCAGAAAGTTCCTGAAAGGCTACAGCCAGAGATTATGTTTAACGTTGTTAAAGATACGGCAATATTTCTGTCCAAGGGAGAGATCTGTTTCCAGTTGATACCCAATCTGAAAGTTATTCTTCTAATTTGAAAGGAGCAAAACATAATACCTTACTCCCATCCCGCTCCATACTTCCCTCCTACCCTGCTCCTACCTCATCGCTACCAATGGGCAGCACACAGAGTCCAATACGAAAGACAGAGAGGGTTAATGGGCTGCAGAAAAACAAAGAGAAGCTATAATGGGTTATAACTATTTAGCAATAAGAACTGAACAAATCAACCTCCTTAGAAATGCCACTGGCAGAGATTACACTGATGGAAACATTCAGAAATTGCAAAAAGATAAAGAAGGGTTTGCACAAGGAAGTGACCATTTCCACAGCCCTGCAAGAGGAAAGAAAAGCACAAAAACACAAGAAAAGGGCCAGCAGAACCTGGCACTGTGAGAACAACAGAGAACAGAACAGAGATGGCTCCTTAGGCACACTTGGCTAAGGATTCAGTTGCAAAGAGAAACTTGAAGCTAAAATCAAAACTTTGCTGAATTGTTATATTATGGGTTCAATTTAGGATCAAGTTACTCATATATACTTCACTTTCTCTTCTGTGGTGTCAGCCACTTGTAACCGATCCTTCATGTTGTGTCTACGAAGTTCCTACGTCTCAGGGGAAACTCCTATAGTTATTAAGAGTATATGGAGGCTGGAAAGACCACAGCTGATACTTGGAATCAAAGTTCCGATGTTAATGGACATAGTGGGTAAATAGCACCCCTAGATGATGCTACCTCACAAAGGCCTGACCATACCTGAGTGGGCTTCATGTCACACATTTTGAGGAGTGACTGATGAATGACTATGACCAAGCTATCCCTCTCCCTGTCTCTCTCTCTTTGGCTCTAAAAGCATTATACACGACACTGACAAGAAAGTCATCTGAAATTTTGCAAGATTTCTTAGAGCCCATTTTAAAGATTTTGGTAGCATGAGGTCCTTTGAATAAATTTTATAGTATTTTGGTTACATTTTGGAACATAATTTTAACATTCTGAGATTCCTTCCCTTTCCCTCATTCCCCATATTCAATCATTCCAAGTAATCTTGATTATGCCTCTAGATATCCTTTTTTGTTGTTGGTTGGTTGGTTATTTATTTATTTATTTATTTATTTATTTATTGCCTCTAGACATTCTTAAGTGTATTTCATCTTTCTGTAAATGGGTTGAGGCCCATTTACTTTGTCTCTTGGACGTGTGAAATAATCTACCAAGGGGTTTTCCTCCCTCATTCTCCTCATAGCTGCCAGTAAACTTTCTAAATCCAGATCTGATTCACTCTTTCTCAAACTACACAAATTTCAGGTACTCTCAATGGACTATAGGATAAAATCCCAACTCTAAAGAAGTGGTTCTGAAAGTGTGGAACCAGGACCAGCTGTGTCAACATCACTAGGAAATTTGTAAAAAATGTAAATTCTTGCCCTCTCTTACCCCAAATCTGCAGAATCAAGATCTCTGGGGATGGGGCCCCA